GTTTGCCTGCCCCAGCCCCCGCCCTCACCTGCCCCGTTACTTGCTCCGTCACCCGACGTCAATCCCCCTCTATCAGCCAGTCAACTCCAACCCCCTTGTTTGGGGGGTTTGCGCTCGTTGGCATCTTTACGCGTTTTTTGCCCTTTCTCCTCTATCTCTTCACGGATTTCGTCCAGCCGACTTTCTGGCAATCGTTTACGAGAACAGTTTGCGAGCACGCACTACGGTGCAGAAGTTGAAACGTTCTCCTGTCAAGTTGCTGGTTGCTGCAGTCCTCTTTCCAAGTGGTGACTAGGAACATTTCCGGAAAATGAGGCTTGTTGGCGCCCGCCGGTGGAGATGCCAATCCGCAGTTATTCACAAAAAAGGCAGTTGCCAGCATGCATTCACATTGTAGAAGAGATGGAGGCAGTCTTTGAGATGTACCTGGGTTCTGCCACCGTGACGGAGCGCGAAGTGTGGAGCTGTAATACTTCGGTCCGGGACTTTAAATGTCATGATACTGCCCATCTTGGTGGACGTGGTGCCAACACAGGCCGCACCAAGCAACTGTGGACCAGGGTTACTTATCCGCTTTTGTCTCCTCGTTTGCATTGTCCTTGGTCCAGCAAAGATGTCCGTCCTCTTCCACCAAGCTTCCTTCTTCCGCTTCGTGTCCCTCAGCCGCCACCATCGGGCCCCACGGTGCCAAGTCGATATTCACCGACACCGTGCAACTATCACATGTGGCAGGGCGCAACGTGTCACGCTGTGCTGCACCTGGTATGCCTTGGCGACTAACGTTAACACTCAGGGAACCTTCTCTGAGATGTAATGAACAGAGAAATCGACAGATGGCTGTCTTCCGCGCAAGCCTGAAAATCGGACACCTTGTTGACCGACAAAGAAAAGAACACTGGTGTCTGCTCTTGCGTACAAGAATGTGTGTGCATGCGCCATGACATGGCCTCACGTGTTCAATCTGGGTTGTCAAGACGGTTCCTACAAAATCCGACCTTCCACACTGCAAGACATCCTTAAAATGTCACGTAAACTTTTTTGCATGCATTTCAGCATTCTCCTACAACCGCAACAGCAACACCCCTCCGTTGACGTGCAGCTGGCAGAAACGGAATTCCACAGCATCGCCTGATCTGCCGACGGTTGCATACAAGTGGACATTTCAACCCTACATATGGTTCAGATCCTGCCTTTACGAACATGCCGCAAAGGGCCAGCCATACCGATTTCCTGAGGTTACAAAGCCAGCTAAAGGTAATCCCCTGTGTAACTTAGTATGTCAGCCATGGCAGCTCATGCGTGACACCTCGCCGCGTGCTCACGGCCCTTTGAGGAGGCTCACGCTATTCGTGAGTTGGCAGGACTATGTGTATCGAACGACGTCATTCCTCTTTTGAAGCACGTCCTGGAACAAATGTGTTAACAAATGGTCTGTCACCGATTCGGTATCGGTGACGTTGGCGCGACACAGATCCTGGCACAACGCCACACATGACCTGTGGGGGGCAGGACAGGAAGAAGAGGAGGAGGTAGAGGAGGACATTTGTGCTCAGGAATTATTGAGTGAAATGGGTGTGTTTTTATCTCGCTCAGCGTGACAGGAGTGGAGGAGCAAGCATGGAGTTCCAGGTAGAGGAGGAGGAGACAGAGGACCCAGACGCACCGTGGCAGTATGCTGTGTGGAGATGGAGGAGGGAGGTCCCTCCTCAGCATTCCGGTTGGCACAAATGGCCCATAGCATGCTCGGTTGCTTGCGTAGCGCAAGTTGCTACGCGACCAGCCGAAATAACCCATCAGACAGAGGGATAGACTTTTGGCTGTCCACCTTGTTGGAAACTTGCCTCGCTGCACCGTTCAAAAATGGTGCCTTTTTCAACCTGCTGAGAGGGAGGTCCAAAATAAAGTACTATAAAAACCCTGCCTATGTAGTCAGTTGGTCACTCTGCCTTGTCTTGCCAACGTCCATCTCAGGACACTGTGGGCCCTGTGCGCTCGGTTCCGCTGCCATGGCAGCAGGGGAGGATGGGTGGGGTGGTAGGAGGCAGCTGGCAGCTCCACCAGCACTGTGCAGGCGGCAGCCTCAGTCTGCAGTCGATGATGAGTAGTTTCTTCATCAGCGCAGTGAGGAAATACCTAACCCAGCCGCAAGCACAGCAGCATCAGGTGGACCTGGGCAGGACCTCAAACAACAGGCTCGGGGCCTACTTGGACAGCACCCTGCCAATCCGAGGTAGACAATCCCCTTGGACTACTGGGCGTGAGACGAAACTATGACCTTTGGCCCCCAAATAGCTGAATTTGCCCTTTGAAAGGCTCTGTCATGTGCCCGGCCAGTAGCGTTGGCTATCGGAGCTGCGTGTTTAGTGTGGCCGGCAGGAGGTATTGTGTAATCGCGGCGGAATGGACACGACTGTCCATCCCTAAGTGTGTGGAGAGACTCACGTTTGTGAAAATGAATCAGGCGTGGATTAGTCTGGATTTCAAACCCACAGTTCCTGGACAACTGACTAAATCCGCCATGAATCATGCCCCCCCCAAACATGTTATTATTTTTAAACTAGGCCTCTGTATGGACCTTCAACTTTTTTAATACTGCTTGCCATGAGCTAATCTGGCCTCCGACATCATGCTGCTGCCAGGTCCAGCGGGCCATGGGTCCCTGTACCGCTCCATTTCTTGCTGTCTCCTGCCACAGTCCAGATGTGTGTCCTCACACTGTGGGTCCCTGTACGGTCCTAGGGGGTGGTGGCAGATAACGGGGGGCTTTCATTTGCTGTCTATTGCATTGTGTCTCCATTCGCCACACTCTGCCATGTGCCACTTTCAGGTCTCCTCACACTGCTGGTGGGTTCCATTTTGTCATAGGGTGCTGGCAGATTAGGGGCTCTCCCATTGCTGCTGCCGTAGGCCCGTAATCTGCCATGGGCCCCGTACCGCCTCCTCATGCTGCTGCCAGGTCCAGAGTCTCTCATGGGGTCCCTGTACGCCTCCCATTGCTGCTGTCTCCATCGCCACACTCTGCCATGTGCCACTTTCAGGTCTCCTCACACTGCTGGTGGGTGCCATTTTGTCATAGGGTGCTGGCAGATTACGGGCCTCCCATTGCTGCTGCCAGGCCCGTAATCTGCCATGGGCCCCGTACCGCCTCCTCATGCTGCTGCCAGGTCCAGTAAGTCTCTCATGGGTCCCTGTATGGGCCTCCCATTGCTGCTGTCTCCATCGCCACACTCTGCCATGTGCCACTTTCAGGTCTCCTCACACTGCTGGTGGGTTCCATTTTGTCATAGGGTGCTGGCAGATTACGGGCCTCCCATTGCTGCTGCCAGGCCCGTAATCTGCCATGGGCCCCCGTACCGCCTCCTCATGCTGCTGCCAGGTCCAGAGTGTCTCATGGGTCCCTGTACGGCCTCCCATTGCTGCTGTCTCCATCGCCACACTCTGCCATGTGCCACTTTCAGGTCTCCTCACACTGCTGGTGGGTTCCATTTTGTCATAGGGTGCTGGCAGATTACGGGCCTCCCATTGCTGCTGCCAGGCCCGTAATCTGTCATGGGCCCCTGTACCGCCTCCTCATGCTGCTGCCAGGTCCAGAGTGTCTCATGGGTCCCTGTACGGCCTCCCATTGCTGCTGTCTCCATCGCCACACTCTGCCATGTGCCACTTTCAGGTCTCCTCACACTGCTGGGGGTTCCATTTTGTCATAGGGTGCTGGCAGATTACGGGCCTCCCATTGCTGCTGCCAGGCCCGTAATCTGTCATGGGCCCCTGTACGCCTCCTCATGCTGCTGCCAGGTCCAGAGAGTGTCTCATGGGTCCCTGTACGGCCTCCCATTGCTGCTGTCTCCATCGCCACACTCTGCCATGTGCCACTTTCAGGTCTCCTCACACTGCTGGTGGGTTCCATTTTGTCATAGGGTGCTGGCAGATTACGGGCCTCCCATTGCTGCTGCCAGGCCCGTAATCTGCCATGGGCCCCCGTACCGCCTCCTCATGCTGCTGCCAGGTCCAGTGTTCTCTCATGGGTCCATGGGTCCCTGTACGGCCTCCCATTGCTGCTGTCTCCATCGCCACACTCTGCCATGTGCCACTTTCAGGTCTCCTCACACTGCTGGTGGGTTTTGTCATAGGGTGCTGGCAGATTACGGGCCTCCCATTGCTGCTGCCAGGCCCGTAATCTGCCATGGGCCCTGTAAACCCCGTACGCCTCCTCATGCTGCTGCCAGGTCCAGTAATCTGTCATGGGTCCCTGTACGGCCTCCCATTGCTGCTGTCTCCATCGCCACACTCTGCCATGTGCCACTTTCAGGTCTCCTCACACTGCTGGTGGGTTCCATTTTGTCATAGGGTGCTGGCAGATTACGGGCCTCCCATTGCTGCTGCCAGGCCCGTAATCTGCCATGGGCCCCCGTACCGCCTCCTCATGCTGCTGCCAGGTCCAGAGTGTGCCATGGGTCCCTGTACGCCTCCCATTGCTGCTGTCTCCATCGCCACACTCTGCCATGTGCCACTTTCAGGTCTCCTCACACTGCTGGTGGGTTCCATTTTGTCATAGGGTGCTGGCAGATTACGGGCCTCCCATTGCTGCTGCCAGGCCCGTAATCTGCCATGGGCCCCCGTACCGCTCTCCTCATGCTGCTGCCAGGTCCAGAGTGTCTCATGGGTCCCTGTACGGCCTCCCATTGCTGCTGTCTCCATCGCCACACTCTGCCATGTGCCACTTCAGGTCTCCTCACACTGTTGGTGGGTTCCATTTTGTCATAGGGTGCTGGCAGATTACGGGCCTCCCATTGCTGCTGCCAGGCCCGTAATCTGCCATGGGCCCCCGTACCGCCTCCTCATGCTGCTGCCAGGTCCAGAGTGTCTCATGGGTCCCTGTACGGCCTCCCATTGTTGCTGTCTCCATCGCCACACTCTGCCATGTGCCACTTTCAGGTCTCCTCACACTGCTGTGTGTTCCATTTTGTCATAGGGTGCTGGCAGATTACGGGCCTCCCATTGCTGCTGCCAGGCCCGTAATCTGCCATGGGCCCCCGTACCGACTCCTCATGCTGCTACCAGGCCCGTAATCTGTCATGGGCCCCTGTACCGCCTCCTCATGCTGCTGCCAGGTCCAGAGTGTGTCATGGGTCCCTGTACGGCCTCCCATTGCTGCTGTCTCCATCGCCACACTCTGCCATGTGCCACTTTCAGGTCTCCTCACACTGCTGGTGGGTTCCATTTTGTCATAGGGTGCTGGCAGATTACGGGCCTCCCATTGCTGCTGCCAGGCCCGTAATCTGCCATGGGCCCCCGTACCGACTCCTCATGCTGCTGCCAGGCCCATAATCTGTCATGGCCCCTGTACCGCCTCCTCCTCATGCTGCTGCTGCCAGGTCCAGAGTGTCTCATGGGTCCCTGTACGGCCTCCCATTGCTGCTGTCTCCATCGCCACACTCTGCCATGTGCCACTTTCAGGTCTCCTCTCACACTGCTGGTGGGTTCCATTTTGTCATAGGGTGCTGGCAGATTACGGGCCTCCATTGCTGCTGCCAGGCCCGTAATCTGCCATGGGCCCCCGTACCGACTCCTCATGCTGCTGCCAGGCCCGTAATCTGTCATGGGCTGTACCGCCTCCTCATGCTGCTGCCAGGTCCAGAGTGTGTCATGGGTCCCTGTACGGCCTCCCATTGCTGCTGTCTCCATCGCCACACTCTGCCATGTGCCACTTTCAGGTCTCCTCACACTGCTGGTGGGTTCCATTTTGTCATAGGGTGCTGTATGGCCTCCCATTGCTGCTGGCTCCACCGCCACACTGTGGCTCCACACTCTGGTTTTGGCCCCGTGACTGCCCAAATGAGTGAAGTGTGCGTGTGTGATTCTAAGATCGACGGCACTCATCTGCATGTCATACTGACTGACAGTATTATTTCTCTTCCCCAGCAGACTCCAAGGGCATTTAAATTAAGGGTACAGTGTTCTGCACTAATATAAAGGCTCTCTGAAGCCTAGAAACACCCTTTTTATAAGTTAAATTCGCAGCTAATATATTCGCATCGAATCGAATTTATTCCTCGAATTTGCCGAATCAGCCGAATCGAATTTTTGAATACTTCGCTCATCTCTAAATATAATCAAACGAAAAACACTGAAATTTGAAAGATAGTGCCAAGTTCACACATCACTGAGCAAAGTCGCAAAATCGTTTTCAGTGTCTGATGACAAACTTCCCCACGAATCATTATCACTCAATTCTGCAAGTGGTTTTGATTTACTATCGCTGTTCTCTAGCTGGTCTAAAACTGCTTGTGACCTAAATGGACGCTTTTTGGACGCCATGGACTATTCTCAGTTTCCAGGCAGAAAGAGCAGTAAAAATGCAGGCAGGGCACAGGACAAAGCACTAGGGATAAAATGTATGTGAAATGGTTTGATACAGTAATGTTATACTATGTGATTTTAGTGAGTGTCACTTTTTGTCATTTTTTAATTTCCCACCGTTCCGTCCCCCGTACGTCCCGACGCTCGCAGGGGACGAAACCCAGAAGACAGATGCCGGCATCTGCCGGATTACATTGCCGGGGACACTGCAAGAGGGACATTGCGGGAGCGCAGGACAAGGTAAGTGATTGAGGGATCGTGGAGCAGCGCCGCATAGTATTCCCGAGTGTAGCTCTGGGTTACCGCTTGTGGTACTGAAACTTTACCCCAAGCTGCACTCGGAATACCACCAGGGAGGTTAAGGTCTGGGGAGTTTCCTGGCCATGGACCAAAAATGTTGATATTTTGTTCCCCAAGCCACTTAGTTATCACTAATGTGCTCCATCATGCTGGAAAAGGCATTTTTTTTCACCAAATATGTTCTTGGATGGTTGGGAGAAGTTGCTCTCGGAGAATGTTTTTGTACCATTCTTTATTCATGGCTGTGTTCTTAGGCAAAATTGTGAGTGAGCCTGCTCCCTTGGCTGAGAAACAACCCGACATATGAATGGTCTCAAAATGCTTTACTGTTGGCATGACACAGGACTGATGGTAGCGCTCACCTTTTCTTCTCCGGACAAGGTTTTTTCTGGATGCCCCAAACAATCGGAAATGGGAGTCATCACAGAAAATGACTTTCCCCCATCCTCAGCAGTCCAATCCCTGTACCTTTTGCAGAATATCAGTCTGTCTCTGATTTTTCCTGGAGAGAAGTGGCTTCTTTGCTGCCCTTCTTGACACCAGGCCATCCTCCAAAAGTCTTCACCTAACTGTGCGTGCAAATGCACTCACACCTGCCTGCTGCCATTCCTGAGCAAGCTCTGAACTGGTGATGCCCTGATCCTGCACCTGAATCAACTTTAGGAGACTTTCCTGGTGCTTGCTGGACTTTCTTAGGCACCCTGAAGCCTTCTTCACAACAATTGAACCTCTCTTTTTGAAGTTCTTGATGATTTCATAAATGGTTGATTTATGTGCAATCTTAGTAGCAGCAATATCCTTGTCTGTGAATCCCGTTTTGTGCAAAGCAATGATGACTGCACGTGTTTCCTTGCAGGTAACCATGGTTGACAGAGGAAGAACAATGATTTCAAGCATTGCCCTCCTTTTAAAGCTTCCAGGCTGTTATTCCAAAGCAGTCAGCATGACAGAGTGATCTCCAGCCTTGTCCTCCTCAACAATGACACCTGTGTTAATGAGAGAATCACTGACATGATGTCAGCTGGTCCTTTTGTGGCAGGTCTGAAATGCAGTGGAAATTTTATGGGGGATTAAGTTAATTTTCATTGCAAAGAGGGACTTTGCAATTAATTCCAATTCATCTGATCACTCTTCATAACATTCTGGAGTATATGCAAATTGCCATCAGAAAAATTGAGGCAGCAGACATGTTGGTACAAATCTAGGGAGCAGAAGTGCTCAATTAATAAATAATTATTAATTGAGAAGTGCTCAGTTAATAAATAACTAAAGTGACTCTGTCATTTAAAAAAAGAAGAGGAAGAAAGAGCTGCTAGCAAGATGCCTACACTTACCTGTAAGAGCTACTGTTCACCATGCTACAACTGAATGCCAGGCCATTGTGGATAGGCAATGCTCTGACACTTCTGGTAGTGATGGAACTTGCCCACCCACTCACTGAGTATAAATAATCTACTATACTCTTAGGGCTATGAGCATAGCGTTGCTGTTAAAGTTCTGTTTCCTTAGTCACCTCACCTCTCCTCCCTCCCCCTGTTGATAGGAAATTGGAGGAATGGTAGCACATTTATGAAGTCATCTCTGTGCTGTCCCCTCCCATAGGCATATTTCTAATGTCAGACTGACAGCTTTGACAACAGATGCAACAGGACTGACATGTGGGAGTTTCTGAAATTCAGCTCATTATTTTTGCTTATAATGAAGTTTTGTGTGTCCACATATGGTTGCTTGAGATTTCAATGTACATTGTCAACTGAAGTAAAAAATCCAGAAAGCAGCAGCACTTACTATAGAATATAATGTTATGTATGGTTATGTTTAAGATGCTGAAAATCTGTTTCGTTTTAGAGGTTCTATTTGTGCCTAGTATAGATTTATTTTATTTATACCATTGGTATTGCAAAAAATCAGCACATTGGTTATTTGTTGATTTTAATAATTTACTTTGGAAATCTTTTTCTTTTTAAAACATGCCAGAAATGTATACAGACTGTAGAAAGCAAATATGTTCCCTATTAATAATGTAAATACAGCTCTGACATCACAACAGTAGAATATCTTGTAACATTTAGTGAACCATAGTGTATGCATTGCTCAGAGAAGTATAAAATTGAGGTAGGTAACAAATTTAGGGATTTGGAGACAAATCTATCAAGGGTATTAATGTGTGTCTGATGGTTCCTGAGTCTTAAAATGTCATTAGTATATGGAATGGGTGTAACGACTCAGTTATGTTGGCTCTGTCTCTGCATTCTGGAAATTTGGGGGAAAAAAAATTCAGTGTGGAGTACTTTTACAAATTGAAAGTCATTTTGTTACACTGGGAAGGTTAATTGCAGTGTATATAAAAGTATTATGCTTGAAATAAAAGTACAGCATATGTAGTAAATAAAGTAAACTTGCTTTTTAAAATTTCGTTGCAATGCATTGAGAAGTACAGTGTTACTTAATTTCCATGATTTCCTTGTCTTCAGCTGAAACAACTTATAGTAAAGTTTCAGAAATCTTTCAATAAGGTCTCCATATATTATATAATTTGAATATCATGTCATATCATTTTAAAAGAACATATTCCACACTTTTTCTTTTTTTAAATCTTCCCGGAAAAATAAAAAAAAATGGCTTTAGAAAAAAACTTTTTTCCCCAATGTTTCCGTTTTTTTTTTCCCCAGGCCTTCCCTTCTCTAGTTGCACAGAAATTTTGTGTGAGTGTTTCTTTGCTAAGTGATGCTTCTATCCATTCTATTCTAAAAGTAAATTGTCTAGGAAATGTAATGGAGAAGCAGGGGCTGACTGACCATTTGGGAACTCGGGCACTGCCCGAGGGCCCGGGGTCAGTAGGGGGCCCCTTGAGATGCCCCTGGTACCTTTTTCATAGGCCTTTTTTAGTTTGGGCAAGGACACAGGGGCCCCATGATCCCCTATTGCCCGGGGGCCCCATGAGTTGTCAGTCCGCCCCTGTGGAGAAATAATATAGAAGAAAAAATATAAAAGTTTGCAGTATATTTTTTGCCCACTTGTAGGCAGGTGTGGGGCTGCAGTATATCTGTTGACCTGAAGATGGAAATGTGCCATTTCTCCAGACTGGCTGGAGACCATTGTGGGGTACATCAGAGACAAGCAGGTTAGGAGCAGTGACAGGGAGAGGCACGCCAAGGAAGAAAAAAGTGATTTTCTCTCAGTCTCTTCTGCCAGCTTCCTGGAACTGTCTCCTATCACAGGATACGGCAGTATAGTAATCTTATACCTTCTCCATGCATAGGGCTCCCCATTTTGTGGTTTGTAAACTCATGTTATATCACTATTGAAAGAATGTCTTTTTTTATAATCATGACCTTTTCTACCCAAAAAAGTGTATGACCTGCTTTAAACTGTCTTATTTCTATGACCATTCAGTTTCTACAATATAAAAAATGTTCAAGTATCCATGTATGTTGACTCCTTCAAGTTCTTGGGTGCACTGGTTAGGTCCTGCCCACACACTACTCATATCAATATTAATCTTTTGTTTCCCATAGCAATACTTTAGAAATATTTTTAAATAAGTCAATAACACTACACTTAGTTTTTGGATGCCTGAACAGCTTGAGGAAAGCCATTATTAGTAGAAGGTAGTTTAGCAAAAAATAATTTTTTGCTAGTTCCAGGAGGTATGAATATGTGTGTATGTACTGTATTACCTTTGATAATCTTTTCTTAAAGATTAGTTGCTTTGAACATGGAATCTGAATTGGCTTTTTCTAACAGTGGTCTTGATAAACTCTTTTTCTGATGCAGTCC